GGCCACCCCCCCGCTGCGCCTCGCCGCCCCCCTCTTCGTCCCCTTCTTCCAGTGTGCCCTGACGGCCGCCCTCTGCCTGGGCCTCAGCCTGGGGGCGGCCTGCGGGCCCCCCTGCCCCGGCCTGCCCGCCCTCCGCCTCGACCCCAAGGTGTCCCGCAGCGTCCTGCCGCTCTCCGCCGTCTTCATTGGCATGGTCACCTCCAACAACCTCTGTCTCAAGTACGTTGGCGTGGCCTTCTACAACGTGGGGCGCTCCCTCACCACTGTCTTCAACGTGCTGCTCTCCTACCTGCTCCTCAAGCAGACCACCTCCCTCTACGCCCTCCTGGCCTGCGGAGTCATCATAGGTGAGGGGGAGCGGGAGGGGGCCTGCACCCAGCCTGCGGCTGGGTCCATAACCTCAGAGAGTGGGAGGTTGGGTGTCTTCCCCTTGGGAAGCCATCCCCGCATGCATGGTGGCCCCCCGGGTGAGGTAGCTCAGGGCTCGCGCCTTGCTCTGCCTTGGGCAACCTGCTTTGCATGTCTGGAGTATGTAGGTAACTCGTTAAGAAAGGAAATTACTCTTACTTGACCATGGTGTCCTTTTTCCTTTGAGCACTAAAAACTCTCTAATGAACTTTAACTTGGCTCACCTTTTTCTTTTTTTTTTTTTCCCCACAAAGGACATAAATCAGCAGGTGGTTTTCGCCCTGAAGTGCTTGTTGATTATTAACTTTGGTAACAATAACAGAATGTCAGCACCATTGTGACCATACAATGGAGCTACCCAATTCAGACAGTTGAATGCATGGGATGAAGGGTTAGCTGAACAAGCCAAGAGTAAAACACCACCAGACGATCTGGTTGTGTGGTTAGGATGTAGGGCAGGGCATTGACTGGCTTAACGGGAATTGCTTACAAGTTTTTCATTCCAAAGGCATCAGTAATGCCAAAAGCTGCCTTCCACTGGAGAGCTATTTCGATGCTGAGGGTGGTGAAATGTTGACTTCAGTCTGGTTCCAGGTGGACATGTGTTCACTTTGATGCTTAGACAAGTAGATGGACTTGGATGAAAACGAGACAAGAGAATCCCTTCTCCATAGAAGAGGTGAACAGGAACAGAACTACTGTTTTTTCCACCCAAGTCATGCAAGCAATTGCCTTCAGCTAGTCTTGTGTTTGGATATTGCCCAGGACTATGGTGTCTGCCAGCCTCACAGGGTTTCTCTAAGACTCTCTCCCCCTGGCACCGTCCCCTTTTTGCTGAGGGAACGTTGCCCATATGCCTATAGCAGCATAGGTGAGCATCATTTGTGGCCTGATGCAAACCTCTTCTGCCTGTGCATTGAACCCATTTGTGGTGCTTAGTTTAAAGCATGTTGGCTGCTTTGCAGGCAACTTCCCAGACACCCTCCGACATGAAGCAGCTAATGGAGAGGCGGTGCAGTGCTCCTTCAGTAGCTCATCTCCCCTCTTATGTCTTGCTTATGAGCTGGATGGGGAGAGGTGTCTCTCTCTTTGCCCTAGAGAGGCAAAGCCTGTAGCTCCTGTTCTGGAGGTGGTTAAAGAGTGCATTACCCATGAAAGAAGTTTAATGTGGTGAAGATACTGCTCTCAGTTTCTGCCTTGTGATCTTTTTTTTTTTGGTCAAGCTTCTTAATATTACATCCATGTGTTTACTATCTTTCCATCAATTTTTCTAACCTATCTTTCCCTTCCTGTGCAGCCTGTGAGGCTTGCTTTTTTTTTAAACCTTGAGGAGTATTTCTTGCCTCCTGTGTGTCAGTTTGCTGCCTTTTCAATTAAAAAAACCCTCATACGATCTCCTCAAAATGACCCATACACAAAGAGTAGCTTTAACTTTAGTTCATGACTCTTTGGAGTAATGGTTTCTAAATTCATGCTGCTAGCGCAGTGTGGGAATCAGTCCTCTGAGATTGAATGATAGCACAGTAAATTACCTGCTCTCCCAAAATAAATCTTCCCAGGACACTAGTCATGACACTTTGTGGGTTCACTTAATAGAAAGGGGAAGCCCTTAAGCCTGTCTCTGCTTGTGGTTGTGGTTGTTCGTTATAAGGTAGATGATGAATTGCTGACTGCATGTTTTGAATCCTTCAACAGTTGTTCAGATGATGCCTGATTTCTTTGGTTGCAGGTGGCTTCTGGCTGGGTGTTGACCAGGAAGGAGCAGAGGGCACTCTGTCATGGACAGGTATATTCTTTGGGATCTTAGCAAGCCTATGTGTTTCGCTCAATGCCATCTACACCAAGAAGGTGCTGCCTGTGGTGGATGGTAGCATCTGGCGCCTGACCTTCTACAACAATGTCAACGCTTGTGTCTTGTTCTTCCCCCTCATGATGCTGCTGGGCGAGTTCCGCACCCTCTACCACTTTGACAAGCTGGGGAGCCCCAGTTTTTGGGGCATGATGACCCTGGGGGGAGTGTTTGGCTTTGCCATTGGGTATGTGACTGGACTTCAGATCAAGTTCACTAGCCCGCTCACCCACAACGTGTCTGGGACAGCCAAGGCCTGTGCCCAAACAGTGCTGGCTGTTATCTACTTTGAGGAGACAAAGAGCTTCTTGTGGTGGACGAGTAACTTGATGGTTCTGGGTGGCTCCTTTGCCTACACATGGGTGAAAGGACTGGAGATGAGAAAGGTGCAAGAGGATCCTAATGTCAAAAGCGGTGAAAGAAATGAGACTGGCGTGTAGGCAGCTCCTGCACCTCTGTTTCTGTGCCCAGGGGATTAACCGTTGGTGCTCCTTTCCTCCTGGGTACAAGAAGAGCAACGAGCGGGGAAAAAATTCACCGTCAAAGTGTATGGGGAACTGTGTCAGGAACCAGAGCCGAAGACCTGACTGGATCATGTTTTATCCATGGGATCTCACCCTGTATCAGAGTTGGGGAGAGCATGTGTTGTAGAGAGCAATGAGGGTTTTTTGTGATCGTTTTTTAAAATGAATGTTGCTATTGACCTAATCTGGGCAATTTGCATCTTTGGGAGGGTGGGCTCATAGCAGACAGAGACTGGGATGGGAGCTTTGTGTAGTTAGGGGTCTAGAATTAACTGAATGAATGCAATTTGAAGTTAAGAAATCCTGAAGCTCCACATAAGGAAGAGACAAGTAACCAGACTGTTGGGGGTAAACTCCAGTAAACTGTTCTGCTGTAAAAGGATTGGCAACAGCCATTCTTCCTGTTGCCCCGTTCAGTGCAAAGGATGGGAAATTCCCTCCCTTCTGGATCTGTACAAGCCTAAGCAGCAGCAGTGCCTCCAAATCTCCATTCCAAAAAGTCAGTATCATATCCTGCTGAGGTCTCTTCTGTGTTTCTGTCCACCTGGTTTCTTAGTTTCTTAGCTGTGCTAAGAATCAGGAATGAAACTTCTCATTCCCTCTGCACCGTGTCCCGTGAGGGAGAGCATGCGTTCTCAAGTGGCCTTTCTCGGGGAGGAGTGAGCTTGGCCTCTGCCTCTCTGTGACAGGCAGGAGGGGAAAAGTTACTCTGAAGCACTTGCTTCTGTAAGGTGGAGATCCCTGGTTCAGTGGGGTTTGCAACACTTGTCATCCTCTGTGTAGAGGGTAGGTTTGTGCCTGAAAACAGGGTTATTACTAATTAGGATTGTTTCTGGGGGTTTGTTCCACACCTACTTTTGATCTCCCCTGGTGTTTGCAGTTTGTCTTTTGGCTGGTTCCTTTTTAAACACCCCCTCCATGACCAGCTCAGTGAATCCTTCAACCCCCCAAAATCCTAGTTTCGCTCAGCTGCATCAGTCCCTTTAGTTGAAACTTGCTGCTGAACAGTTCGGCGGAAATCTCTGCTCCCCATCTGGTCCTGTGCACGTGCCACTTGAGGCTACTATGTGCTGTGATTTCTGAGCTGGGGGGGGTCAGCAGTAACATCCTACGGTTGGCTGTGGTGTTGCAGCAGCCATCTAAACCCCTGGCCTCTTTATATTTAACGGATTATTTGGATTTATTTGGATAGCGATCCTGGGCAGTTAATGCAACTGCTTCATACCCTGCCCTGTGGATCCTATATGATGTACCATGCCCAGTGTGTGATGTCTGGCCACTCCTGAAAAAGGACACTTAATTTCTGTCCAAAATATGTTCCTGTGTAATCAGGGGGGGGCTCCTGCTCCAGGTTTCATCAGCCACAGGTACCTTCTCGCTCACTCCTTTTCAGTGCAGGCTGCCGTTTGGGGTCCTTGAATGTATTTGGAGCGGAACGGATGTTTTTAATGTTGCACGTCCTGACTTGTAACGGCCAAAACCTGATGAATAAAGTCGGGGGGGGGGGGGGGGGGGGGGCTTTT